AAAGTCTTTAAAAAAAAATAAAAGGATAGGCGAAATAGAAGTGGCAAAATGTTGATAATGGTTTAAGCTGAATGATGAGAACTGTGGGAGTTATATTTTTTTTCCTTTGAAATTTTCTGTAATAAAATTTAAAACGATATGTCACATTTCTCTTTGGCTGTGATCTTGGACAAGTCACTTACTCTCAGTCTTAATCTGATCACCTATAAAACTGGGATCATATAACTTATTGTGAGGTTTAAAGGAAACAAAAATTCATTTCCGTACTCTTCTTGGGGCTCAGGAAATCAGATGGGCATCCTGCCAGGAATAGCTCATGGTGCAGCATGGGGCATCAGCGGAGAGGACAGCCGCTGTGTCCTGAGACCGACAAGCACTGGGCATGGTTGCCACGCTGGGGACACTGAGCCATGGGTCAGTCCAGGCCAGCCACGAAGCCCACCCTGAATCCCTAGATCCTATCCAAAACGATGGGATTTCCCTGAGGAGAGGCCGGCTTGTGCTGCCACCTCGTGGCGTTGGGAGCTGGGGCTGGGAGCACAGAGGCGACATTTTGCCACTGGCCTCATTCCCTGAGGTCTGGAATTTCATCACCTCAGTGCAAGTCATCTCCACGTGGAGAGGAAGCTGCCTGTATGGGAGGCTCCCGTGCGTGGATCCGTACATGATTCCAGACGTGTCAGCCAGCGGAACTCACAGCGAAGGGCATGGGTGCGTGAACAGCAAGCTAGGTGGCATGTGGCAGCCCCAACAAGGATGGGGGTGGCCTTTAAAAAGAAAAAACGTCCTCAGGAGAAGAAGTTCGTGTAGATGACTCTACAGTATGCCGGCCGTGGGTGTGATGCTCAACAGCCGAGCGCTGGCAGGTGCCAGGGTCTGTGCAGATGTCCCCTTGTGGATCAGCGCACAATGCAGTGACGAGGGGACTGGGGCCAGCCAGGTTAGGTGACTTGCTCCAGGTCACACAGGCACAAAAAGGCAGAGCATTTCCGTATTTTTTCCAAGTATTCCCAGTTTCCACATGACTGTTAGGGCAGAAGCCAGGAGCCACTTGCGTCCATCTACTCTGGAGTGTGGCTGATGCCACAAGCTGCATTTTATTATTATCTCTCAGCAAAGGCATGGATAGTTATCCTTTACTCCATCTCCGTCTGCGGCATCCCTGGGTTGCATACCTCTAGCTATGGGGAGCTCTCCACCTGCCCAGGCCTGGCGGCTCTGGCCAGGCCCGGTGGGCGGAGGACCTCTCAGTCCCTGAGGAGACCAGAAAACAAACAGACGGTGGAAACCCAGCCAGGAAGGTTTTATGCACCATCCAAGCTCTGGGCTCTGGCCGAGGCATTCAGAGAAAGAGCTAGAAGAATGCGGCCTGCGAGGTCGCCCAGGGGTCGGGAGGCTGACTTGCCCAGCAGCAGCTCTCAAGTTGTTAACCAGGAAAATGGCTGCGGTCGCCGCCCCCCCCCCAAGCCTGTCTTTGTCCCCATGGCTGTGAGGGTGACTCAGATCCAAGAGAGCCTTCAGATTGCCTCTCCCCTGCTCCTCTCTGTCTCTCGTTATTAAAGCTATAAGAGATACGTAACAAAAACACCTTGAGAATTTCCAGGGCCTGCGTGGAGCTGCCAAGAAACCGCAGATGCTGGAAAACACACTGTTGGAATGAGCCCTCGGCCCAGCCAAGGAGGGTCTGAGGGAATGGCGTCCTCTCCCTCCCTCCCCGACTCCCCACCAAAGACAGAACCCCACCCTCAGGAAGGTCCAAGGTGGGCGCTGGGGCCGTTCTCCATGGGGTATGTGTGTGCAGAGCTGGCAGCTGGGGAGAGAATGTGGACACCAGAGGAGACTCATCTTTTCCAGACCCTGAGCCGATGTGTGCTGTCCCCCAAGGTCTGACTGCCAGGGCAGAAACCGCTGCTGGTGAGGCTGGGAAGTGAGGGGAGGTGAGCAGAGGCCCACGGGGCGTCCGAGAGCCCTGGCCAGCTCAGCGCAGGCAGGAGCCCTGGGCTGCAGGCGTGGTCCCGGCTGGTCCTCTGCAGCCGGCCGGGGTCATGGTCCTCCCTCCGTCCTTCCTCCAGCACGTGGTAGTGGCTAAGAGCCCGTGCGCTGGAACGGGACATCTCTCGAGCCAATCCTAGTCTG